CATCAAAAAAGGACTCAACCACAGTTGCTTCGTATTTTTTGAAAGAAACCTCTCCTCCGGGATCGGGTGAAACGGTCCCCAAAATGGCGGGCGCAACTGAAACTCAGGACTCTACCAACGACCAGCTTCACAAAAAAGACCTGATGGACTTAAAAGAAGATCTTCAGCGTTTCTTTAGAGACTCAATGTCTGAAATGCTACAACCAGTCAGCTCAAAATTGGAGGAACTCACGGAAGGTCTTAGCTCTGCATGCAAAGCTGCAGAGTCAGCCTTAGAAGTCGCGGAAGCGCTTCAAACCGACGTAAAACAACTCCAACGTTCAGAAACTCTGATGCAAGATAAAATCAACTCATTGGAAAACAGATGGAGACAATTCAACGTAAAATTAAGAGGTATGGAGGAGGGGGCGGAAGGCTCTAATGATTTATCAACATTTATTTCGCAATGGATAGCCAAAGCATTAAATACGGGGGAAGGGAATGCCCCGGCAATTGCGAAGGCGCGCAGATTGGGCCCCAGAGCGGCTGCCCGCCAAAACCGCCCCAGGGACATCCTTGTCCAATTTGTGTATGCCTCTTCAAGAGACAGAGTTATTAAAGAGGCGAGGCAAAATAACACCTTCTCCTACAATGGCCGGAAAATCTTAGTATTGCTAGATCTCCCTCCTGAGGCGTTAGAGAAAAGGAAGCTTTTGAAAATCATAACTACAAAATTACTAGACGCTAAGATCCGGTTTCGCTGGTCTGCATCCTCCAACATAACTGTCTACAGAGAGGGGACTCTTCATCAAGCATCTGACTTAAAAACAGGGCTGTTACTGCTCAATGCACTTCACCTGCAGATTTCTCAGGAAGAGAAGGAGGCTATTGAAGCTCACCCTGCCTTCGGGAAAACAAGAGACAAAGAAGGTTGATTTATGACTCTACCATCTAGTAATTTGGAATGTGCTTCTGCCTACTTCAAGGTTCTTGCCGTTTATTTAAAATGTGTATCAAAGCTGGTTAGCTTTAACTGTAATGTTTTTTCAAGTTATCTCGGTAAACACTTCATTACGTCCTAATTGTATAGAATTTGGTTGAATTATTATTTTTAAAAAAATCTTCAAGTAACTTCTTAAAATACAAAAAGTAATAAAAACAAAAAAATATATAAAAAATATAAAGATAAAAATGACAAAAAAAATTTCATGGATTTTTACAGGTTTTGGATTATTAGTTTATAACTTGTTATAAGATGGACTTAAAAAGTTATTATTAAAAACAAAAAACAAAAAAAAATATATATCAAAAAATGTTTATATAATATGCTTACATGTATTTTATTGAAGGCAATATAGAATTTATGTTGGGTTATTTACAATAAGATCTTAATATAATAACATTTCTAATATTGTTGATATTTACATGGAGTTTGGATCTTGAAGAGATAAATGTATTTACACAGGTTTTGGATTATTAGTTTATAACTTGTTATAAGGTGGATTTATACAGTTATTATATAAAACAAACAAACAAAAAAAAGTGGAAAAATATCAAAAAATGTTTATATAATATGTTTACATGTATTTTCTTAAAGGCATTATAGTATTTATGTGGTGTTATTTACAACAAGAACTTAATATAATAACGTTTCTACTATTATTGTTATCTACATAGAGTTTGGATCTTGAAGAGGTAACTGTGTACAATGGTATATTATTCTCTAGACTGAAATCTGTTTATATGGCTTATAAAGATTTATCACCAATTTAGTTGACAGAGCTGGGGAAGGGAAATGAGATAGTTATAATTGTTAATATTTTGAAACTAGTTTAGAGTAGTACGATTGACAGACAGGGAGGCTTTGTTAATCTTCCCTTTTTTTGCATATTGGCAAAATTTCTGTCATTCTAGCCTATTGGTTAGGCGAAATTTGTTTTAAATATTGAAGAAAAGTTTGGATTTTTTTTTTTTTGAGAATTGTTATTTGTTAATTATTGTTCTCTTTATATTAAAGTTAATTGTATAGTTGGATAGGTAGGTGTGCCTGTAAAATGAATACATACAAAATTCTTTCTTGGAACTGTAGGGGTTTGAATAATCCCGTCAAAAGGAAAAGACTCTCTAACTCAGTGGTAAAAGAAAAACCAAATTTGGTTTTTCTTCAAGAAACGCACTTAAAAAATAAAGAAAAAAATGTACTGAAAACAGCCTGGTTTACGCAAACTTACCAATCACCTGGGAAATCTAAATCATGTGGGGTAGCCATTTTAATTTCTAAAAATACCCCATTTCAGTGGGAAGCCACCAAATCAGATCATAAGGGTAGGTTTATATTTGTGAGGGGAACACTAAATGGTAAACCAATAACTCTGGCATCGGTATATGCCCCAAACACCGATCAAACTGAATTTATTCAATTTTCTTTGGAACAGCTAACCTCATTTCAAAAGGGTGAAGTAATTCTGGGGGGTGATCTTAATCTAATAATGGATCCTAAGATGGACAAAACTTACAAATCTATAGGAGATAAGCGAAAGAAAATAAAACCAACAAACCTAAAACCTTTATTAGATAGCTTTAACCTTGGGGATGTTTGGAGATCCTTAAATCCAGGAGTCAAAGAATTTACATACTATTCGGAAGTACATAAAACTTACTCAAGAATAGATTACTTATTAGTTTCAAAATCTTTATTGAACAACATCAAAATGGCAGACTTTGGAAGTAGAATTATTTCAGATCACTCCTGGGTTGTAAGTACAATTGTTGATTATCCTAATGACTCTAAAGGTACAAATTGGATCTTAAATAAATTATTACTGCAGGACGCTAATATTTTTGAAACGATTTCCAAAGAGATAGAAGAATATTTTAAAATTAATGATAATGGGGCAGTCACACAGGACATCCTGTGGGATGCTTTTAAAGTGGTATTGAGAGGAAAATTAATTTCTTTGGCATCCTCCTATAAAAAAGAAAGAACTAGAGTAATATCAGAGTTAAAAGAGAACATTAAGAACTTAGAATTAAAGCATATGAAATATGGAAGCGCTAAAATTATGAGGAAGTTAAATTTAGAAAGGAAAAAACTAGATACTTTAGAAACTTCTGCAGTTCAAAAAAACTTAATGTACCTAAAACAACGTTATATAACAAAAAGTTCTAAATCCTTTCAATGGCTTAGAAATAAAGTAAGACAACATCACGCTACTACTCAAATTTTTGCAATAAAATCATCCCAGGGACAAATATTTAATACTTCTAAAGATATAACAAAAATTTTTCAAAACTTTTATCAAAAGTTGTATACCTCCGATCATCCCGAAAAATCTAACATCCAAGACTATCTTCAATCTATAAAATTTGATACAAAAATATCACTAGATCATTTAAAGTTCATAGATCAACCGATTACACCTCAAGAAGTAACAGAAGCGATGGCTAAAATAAAAAATAATAAAGCCCCAGGAAAAGATGGGTTTCCCATCGAATTTTATAAAAAATTTAAGTCGCTAATTATTGATCATTTCACACATACTTGTAATTTTTTGTTGGATTCAGGTAGCATGCCTAAAACGTGGAAAGAAGCTAAAATGGTGGTCATACATAAAGAGGGTAAGGACAAAGTCAAACCGGAGTCATATCGACCGATATCGATCCTCAACCATGATTTTAAAATATATTCTACTATCATGGCCTCCAGACTTAATAAGATAATGCCTTTATACATTCACAAGGATCAAGCTGGATTCATCCATGGTCGCTCTTTATTGGATAACATTAGAAGATCTTTAAATATAATTCATTATTGCAGGTTAAAAAACATAAATTCGGCAATTCTGGCGCTTGACGCGGAAAAAGCGTTTGACAAATTGGAAATTTCTTATTTAAAGCTAGTTTTGGAACATATGGGTTTTGGACCCACTTTTTTAAGAACCATAGACTCCATTTATCAATCCCCCAAGACTCAAATTTCAATAAATGGGTATAGATCTGAAGAAATTGGAATTTTTAGAGGTACCAGGCAAGGATGCCCCCTTTCGCCTATTCTGTTTGCCATTTCATTGGAGCCTCTGGCTTTTGCTATAAGAAATCACCCAGAAATTAAAGGTATTCTAGTTAACTCAGTAGAACACAAACTTAGCTTATTTGCTGATGATATGGTTCTATATTTTAGCGATCCTGTGAATTCTTTAAAGAAAATAATGGAGGCTCTACAAAAATTCAGCGCAATATCAGGCTTTACAATAAACTATTCGAAGACAGAATTATTCCCTGTGTCTTTAACGGAGACAGAAAAGCAAAATATATCTGAATTATTTCCTTTTAAGTGGGTAGTAAAATCTTGGAGACACTTAGGTATTCAGCGTGAAGATGATTCCATCAAGCACATGGAGGCTAGGCCAGTGCGCTTTTGCTCACTCTCCTGTCTACAGGGAGAGTCAACAGACGGACAGGTCATCTGGCACAGGGCTACAGTGACACTGCTTCATTTTTTTCATGTTTTTTTTAACCGCTACTATAAACCAAGCTGGACACAGTTACAAGCCCCTTCTGATACTCAAACAAATCCTGTTTTAGGCAACTCGGCAAGTTATGCCTTTCAATTATCCTGATTTGCCAGAGGCATTTATTTCTGATTTCTTTCAGCTTTCAACCCATATCGCTTTCTTGTGCAACTAAAGTGCAGTGTCAATACTGATTTCTCACAAAAGCAAATGCAATTCCAACAATTCAGGCAAGGCAATGCTTCATCAGTTCTTTCCCCTACACAGGAATTTAGCTCTTCAAACATTTTCTGCTCAATGACCCACAGGTTAAGGTGGTTAGGGAGATTTTCCTGCTTCTCTCTCTCTGATGGATAGATTGTGTATTGCTCTCACCTTGCAGGGAACATGCAATCATGCTCACGGTACAGCTTCTTCTCAATGATCTGGTAGTGCGTCCCCAGCTTTCGACTGATTGCTTCTGACAGCAACTCCTTGGAGATCCCCTCTCGAAAGGGAGCCAAGTCCTGTTCCCTAACTCTGAGAGGAGAGAGATTCTACCCATCATTAAACCCATTAGGGGAAGTTATTATAGTAACAGTTAACAAGGCATTCATGAAAGAAGTTGTTTGATTGTCTGTTTGGGGAATCTCTCATGCTCTGAGACTGGCAGATCATTCAGCTTGCTCCCTGAGGTAAACAGATACAAATGGAACCTAGGAGCTGCCTTATACCTTAAGGCTATTCACTAGTCAGGCTCAGTACTGTCTGTTCCTCTAGCAGTACTCTCCAGGGTGTTTTGGCAAAGGACTTTCCCAGTGGAGCCACCTCTGATGCTTTAGCCAAAGAAGCCAGGGAAAGAACCTTCTATGTGGAAGCAGCTCCCAGGGAAAGGATTAGTTGAATAGGGAATGGCATGCTGATGGCAAACTTACAAGCAGGAGAGAGAGAACTGGTCACAGACGATGTTGGGAAATAGTGTCTTTTCATTACTTACTGGAATAAGCACAGATTCAGGTGGGTAGTCGTGTTGGTCTGAAGCAACAGAACAAAATATGAGTCCAGTGGCACCTTTAAGACCAACACTGGACTCAAATTTTGTTCTGGAATAAGCAGAGTCCTCTAGACAAGCCTAAAATTAAAAATGTGTCCGAATTTGAGTCAGGGTTTGTAATAAAATGATTATTTGAATGCAGTTGTCATAGATGAAAGGACCAGGACATTATGTGTGTGACAGGAATTTGGGCAGCTTAGATTGTTTGTCTTTTTGTATGCATATATTAATGTGATTTTGTAATTCTGTCTGACATTTTAAAAAACTTAGTAAAAAAGAAAAAAAAATCGGTGTGCAAAGCACTGATCTTTGGTTGTGCCTTGTCATAGTTCCTACTCATGGAACACGCTCATCATTTATGTTTTACTTTTTGAACAAGACTTGTTGCCTTATGTTAATTCAAATCTTGTGCCAGCATATTAGAGATGTCCAAACAGAAGTCTCTTCTGACGGCACAGCAGCTGATGTCGTTTCAGGGGTACAAACTATATTAGATGCTGTTTGTTGGACTTGCTTCCATCAGCAGTCAAGCTTTTAACCTTAACACTTCATTCTTTTTTTCAGCTAGAAAGAAAAGTAGCTAAACTCCTCTTCTCACATTACCTCAGCAACAAGGCAGCAGTTTCTTCATGGCAGGATTCCATGCTGTTTTGGTAATTTTCTGGATAAATGAATTATATGGGCAAAGCCGGCAGATTATCAAGTGGGGAAGGGCCAACAGTTATGGTATATACAGACTTACTGGTGAGGGCTGCTGCTACAGGGAAAGAAAAAGAAAGAGCTCCCATGGCACTGAGATAAAGCAAGAAAGGGCTCTTATCTTTTGCAACATTAGGAGTAAGGAGAGTTAATGATGCAAATACTTTATAATGCTTTACATAGCACACTCACTTAAGGCAGCAGACTAACTTCAGAGTTACCCAGGAAGGGACCTGTGTATCTCACAAGAGCAACAACTTTAAGGCTGCACATGTAAACATAATAGAATTTTTTTAAAAGAACTGTTGAAGTACTGTGTGGATTTTAAACACCCCGATAGTACACAGTAGCACATGCAGTCCAGGGGAGGCAACCTGCAACACACACGCTGAACAGTGGCACAACAGGCCGTTTGGCTAAGGACACAGGGCTGGTGAAACAACTGAGATGAGCCTCAGAGCACAGGAGAAGGTGGAGGGCATGGCTTATGCTTCCTGGACTGGAACAGGTATCAGTTGGGTTGGAGGAAAGCCCCCGAGGCATTGGCCATGCTGCTGGGGCTCGGGTTGTTTTTAGCATGTCTGGCAGGGTACAACCCTTGTTTTCTCCCCCCACTTTATTTATGGTACACATTGTGCTTTTTCAATACTTGGCCTTCAAAGCTGCCTACCTGTAAACATACTGACTTAGAAGCAAGTCCAATGGACTTCAGTGGAACTTAACTTCCAAGGAAAATATAGTTGACAACCTGCTACTTTATCTTCCATAGCCCAAACAGCTTATGACAACTACTGCTAAAATTCTACCACCATTGGATGTTAAAGCAGCCACACGCCATAGACACTGCAGCAGAAGTTCCTCGATTACCGATCCACTCTGAACACATGTCCCTGCTGCACTAAGTCTGACTACTGGCCCATCTAGTCCTACCTGCTGGCTGATTCAAGCAGATGCCTTTCGCAGTCTGATACCATGAGGTCCTTTTCACTAAGATGAACCTGGGATCTTCCATATCCAAAGGATATGCTCTGCCACTCCACCCTACCCCCTGGTAAATATTAATTAAACTGTTAGGAATACTGGCCCCTTCCTTACCCTTGATGACAGCTGCAGTTTTCTTTTATGCATGGCCTGTAGTTCTCCACAGCTCTGCTAATCTGGACCAGGAATTTCTTCCAGTTTGTATCTGAAACACAACCAGGATTCAGAGCTAGATAATTCTGAAACAATTATCAAGACATAAAAATGTAGGAATCGGGCCATGCACACTACACATGGGCAGATAAATAGTATGGATTCATATGAACTGCAGCAGGAGCAGGAAACATTGGTAATAATAAAGGAAAGCATCAATAAGACTTCCCCTCCGTTTCTTGGCAATCTGGCATTTTTGAGACTCCTTTGAAAATACCATGATTTCCCTATTGCTTCTCTTCTCAAAGGGCTACCTCTCTCAACTGAAAGTTTCCTATATTTTATCTTTAAAAAAGTGTATCCACCTTCTCTGGACATTCAAAGTAGCTTACAATTCTTTAAACAAAACACAGCCTTTTAAAACACATGTAAGTAATTTCAACCTAACAAAACAGCCTATATCCCTACTGAGTTCTATTTGGGGTTCAGGCAGAAAAAAACTCACCAAAACAAAATTGTTTTGCAACGTTTGCCTCCTTATGCAGCTCAAATATCTGACATTGTGCTTGAACATTCTTCTGTTATTAACTGGGGCAATGGAAACTGCCCTTTTGGAGGAAGGGCAGGGTACAGTCTAGGGCTGACCACAGAAACTTTAACAATGGATGAGCAACAGAGGCATTAAATTTTGCCTGAAGTTTCTGACTTTGCTCATACAAGTAACTTTGAACCATTTGCTCTAAAACAACCCTTGTTGGCAATGCACCAGGTCATACGCTATTGTGCTTAAACTAATCTGCAAAACTATTGGACAAACATGCCTGAGCAGGAGGCTGGGAACAACGCTTCCTCTAAGCTGTGGAGTCTTGAGAACAAAAATTCTAATTTGTGAACTACTGGCATTTAAGTTGTGAGCAAGTGATTTGGCTGCTGCATAATTAGTTTGCCCTGGAGCCAACCTTCCTTAGCTAAGACAAAAATGTGTGAATCGGAGGCTAAAAAAACTGTGAGCTAGCTCACACTAACTCAGAAAACACTGGCTGGGAGCAGGTGAGCTTTGGGAGCCCTTCCATTCTTCAGTATTTCATGTAGCATTGGAGCTAAGCTAAAACAGTGTAAGCCTTTGAGAGGACAGCCTTCTGCAGGATCCATAAACGAGCATGTATTTTGACCAGAGAACCCACACAGCTCCAAAGAGGATGAGGAAAGACACATCTGAGGGGATTCTGAGTGGGAGAATCAGAGAACAGACAAATGAGAGTCATCCTGAAGGAAGCTGGAAGAAAGGAAAGTGAAGAAGATGTTCTGCCCTCTTGACTTCAAGATCCCAAAATGCTCACCAGCTAGCAGACAGGAGGTCTGCAATGTTAGCCAGGCAACAATCACTCTCAGGGCCTGGGCAGCCTACCTGCCCTCCACTCAGAGCACACCCCAGTCCAGCAGTTACTTTTAATACCTTTGTACTCTCTAACTTTTTGTCATATACCATTGGTTCTCCTACAAGAAATTATGCTTCGAGAATAGACAGCTGAGGGGGTGACATGATTGAAGTTTATAAGATTATGCATGGGATAGAGCAGATAGAGAAAGAGGTACTTTTCTCCCTTTCTCACAATACAAGAACTCATGGACACTCAATCAAATTGCTGAGCAGTCGGGTTAGAACAGGTAAAAGGAAGTACTTCTTGACCCAAAGAGTGATTAACACATGGAATTCACTGTCACAGGTGGTGGTGGCGGCTACAAGCGTGGACGGCTTCAAGAGGGAATTAGATAAGCATATGGAGCAGAGGTCCATCAGTGGCTATTAGCCACAAGGTATAGATAGGGACTCTCAGGCTGGGGCAGGTGATGCACTGTATTCTTGGTCCTTTGGGGGGGCCACAGTGGGAGGGCTTCTAGTGTCCTGGCCCCACTGGTGGACCTCCTGATGGCACCTGGTATTTTTGGCCACTGTGTGACAAGAGTGTTGGACTGGATGGGCCTTTGGCCAGATCCAACATTGGCTTATGTTCTGTTATGCAATCCAGTAGCAGAAGAAGAGCAGGCTTAGCATTCACCTCTGGTAGCCCAGGCTATCAGGGCTGGCATACTAATCAAATAGCCACCACTGCTTTGTCTGAGTAGCAGCCCAAAGTAAGGATCACCAGCGTCACACCTCAATCAGTCCTGACAACAGCGCTCAGCAAAAGTGTGCTTTTCTCTTCTGCTTATTTTGTACCCTGCTTTTCTCTCTAGTGGAGACTGAATGTGGATGACAACATCATTCTCTCCTCCTCTGTGCATTTTCATGTATTTCTTTATATCCCGCTTTTCTCCATTGTTCAGACTCCAAAGTGGCTTTTTGAACACTGTTTTCCCCTCCTCCAT